TTTTTTTGTCCCCATCTCACAAAAATGTCTATGCACAAAAAAAAAAAATATTAATAAAAAAAAAATTGTGATAACTGCGAAATTTTGAGATTTGGACAAAACAAAAATGTCTCTGTTCTTTCTTGAATCCGTAGAATGAAGTTAAAACTGAACCTCCATCTAATCATATCCGATTTTCTAGTTTGATTTTTTGGGGGCCAATCACATCCGGTTTTTTTGGGTTTATAGTTTTTGAGGGAAAATTTATAGATGTGATTTATTATTGGTTCGATTGAAGAATTTTGGAGCTTCTTTGTTAAATAGGGCGATTTTCTTGTTACATTGTTTTGGTTTTTTTTAAGGGTATTTTCGTAAATGTCCTATTTATCTTATCATTTGTCTAAGGCAACAAATGCATCATACATCATATTCATAAAATCTTATCTTGTGTCAATCATGCACAACAAATAAAGTATGCATCATATCTCCACAGTGCAATCTTGGTAGACATGATAAAAATTATCTTGTCTCGTCCACCCAAACAAACGCGTTCTTAGTAGCTTAAGGCTTGTTTGGTTGGTATGTTTGATATCCTTCCACATGTTAATATTCCTTGTCCATTAAGATTGTGTTCAGTAAGCACCATAAGTAGATTTTTATATAAGCCCGTTGAAATATTTATTTCAACATGTTTATCAACTAATTTTATCAAACACATTTATTACATCAGTAGCTAGCTCATCTATAGTTCATAAGTTATCAGCTGTAAATTCGAAATTAACACATAAGCTATGGCTAATTTATCATTATCGGCTAACTTATCAATTAAATTACCAAACATAGCCTTGAATTGTTTGGTTTGAGTAGTGAAAGCTCCTTAAAATGGAGTGGCTCATTAGGTGTAAACCCATAAATTCTAAATACAAATATGGTCCATGGTGTAATACCATATCACTTTGTTTAGCCTTTTTGTTTTATTACAATTGTACCCTCACTAGTATCACACTGCAAACAATCCTCCATCTCATTGCCAATTTCACTCTGCAAACAGTGGCTTCTTTTCAACTGCTCAAGATCGAGCAAACTCAATCCTTCTCCACTTCCAATCGAGCAAACCTTAACCTTCTCTACTCATGACAGCCGACGGTATACCACTACGTGAAATTTGTACAATCAATTAACTAATTTATGGAAGTGAATTAATGGAATTTGGACCATCTATTAAAAGATCAGTTTTTCAAAATGTCTTTATTCAGATAAAAAATGAATTTTTAATTTTTGAGATTTATTTGCATTTTCAATCAGTGAACGCCAAGTCCGGTAGCTGGCCCGTGGAGGCGCTGATGGCGATGGATTTCCAGATCACATATGTGATTTTAGGGCCTCGATGCCTGACATGGTGGAGGCACACATGCAAATATTGTGCAGAAATATGAACCTAGCATTTGAGACCCGTTGTCAGAGATGCACTCGAAAAATGGCGACTCGCTCTACTGATCAACTGTTGTAAAATCCACCCAGAGACGTCAAGAATTGACAATATGGTTGTGTTTTGGGGATGAGATCCAACATGTTGTTCTTTGATTATGGAGAGACTAGTGCCATCCTCGAACATGCCAAGTCTGTCGGCAATCCTCCAGGCAGTGCCCGCCGCAACCCTGGTGGTTGTGGACTTGGTAGCGGAGACGGTGGTAGCCACATGCTGAGATGGAGATGGCAACGTGTTTGTGTAACGTGAGGGATATGTGGGGAAAGAAAAAGGAAAATTAATGTTGGACGTCAATGGTCTTGCAACCAAACATGTTAATAAACTAATGGACTTGATATCGAAACAAAAACAAACAACATAATAGGCTATATTAAAATAGATGGATACAAGTCATACAACTAATACTTGACAAGAGAAATAATCAAGCCCATGCCATTATTGCAACTAAACTCACCCTAAGAATATACATTATGTTTGGGGTCTAGCTTTGCTTAATTACGTGGCATATATATGAATTAAGTATATGGATAAAATTAAATAAAGGTAAACAAATTCATTGCAAAGAGACCTGCTCTACTTAAGTCTTAAAGATCGATAGTGTCTTTATATATATATATATATATATATAGGGTCGCGCTCCGGTGAGAATGGTGTTTAAGGAAAGAAATAAGAATAAATTGTAGCCATTAGATTGAATGATATAATGGATTAAAAATAGACAATTTTTAACACTAATTAAGGACAAAATAGACATTTTATTCCACTCAACCTCTTGGGTCCCCACTTTCCAATCGTCCCCACCACCCTCTCTCCCACTTCTTTCCTCTCTCTCACACAAACACACACACACACACAACCTGCCAAGAAACTCTCCGTTTGTTTCCTCTCACCGGCAGCCCTAATCCCCGCCTCTGTCTCCCCGATTCATCATCCCCATCGTCGTCCGATTTCGAAAATTAGACACAATTTAAGATCGAATTGCTCGTCATAATCATTCCTCATCGTCTCCCAAAATCCACAAACACAAATCAGTCATCATCGTTCTCGAATACATCGAATTGCTGCATAATCTAGAAATCGGTAACTCACCACGCAAGAGCTGCACGAAGTTTAGCGGTTCGTCGATCAGAAAATTTAGTTTCGAACGGCGCCTGGCATTCTCCGCCATCCACGCGGGGGTGTTGCCTTCAGTGACGCAGACTATTTTGGGATTGGACTGCCACGAGGCAAGAGACGATGTCCTCGGTCCTGATTCAGGTTAGGGATTTCATGACAAAATGCCAATCTAATATGTTTTTGGTAGCTTGTGAAAGAGGAGATGGATGAGTAGGCATGGGAAGGCAGCTGCTCCTCGGTCTTCCATTGTCACCGTCGCCCGAACTCCAATCGACGGCAGTAAAAACCAGCCAGAAAATTGCGCACAGACATAGAATTTGGGATTGGGATTTTCTTTTTATAAAATTTGACAACTTTTAGGGACCTCTTTGTAATTTCAGAAATATTAATTATATTGCAATTTAGTTTATGGGTTAATTACCTAAAAATTAATAAAAGTTCTTAGTTGCACAATGTTGATGTCGAAAATCGGACGATCAACCGTCAAGTATTTTTGTATTAAAATCACGAACAAAGATGATAAAAATGGTGTGTATTGTTGTTTATTTTTGGAGAGTATTTCTCTCTCTTTTTTTTTTGTGAATGGGGGAGAAGAAAGTGAGGAAGAAGAGCGTCCTCTTTCTTTAAGGCCACACACACACACACACATATATATATATATATATAGGCCTTTTACAAGTGGGTCAAATTAATGAATAGAAAATAATGTACTATCATTTAATATAAAATGATCGTCGTGGGGCCCGCCCGTATTTTTAGTCTTCGATTGATGTCTACACTGTCGGCTACTTCTTTGAGATATCCGTGCAAGTCGACCGCCTTGAATTTTGCTCGGTTCCGTAGCGGGTGGACTCGTCATTTGAGGGGTTTGGTTGGCCTTTAGACGATCAACTTGGAATACATATTTTTCTTGTGCATTTGACTAATCGGAGCCAAATTGGGTACCAACAGAAGGCCCCCGAGTTTAGAACATGTTTTGGAGAGAACTGTTCTTAAGTCGCATTTATTCTATACAATTTGGCAACGTCTTCGCCTCGTGATCTCTTGAGCTTCGAGCTCTTTGCATCGCATAAGAATATTTGCATAATGAGAGTCTTTGGTGAAATCTTAAATACGTTGACGAGTATGCGTAGCGGATAATTTTCGCGTAATTCAGGAGATTACTCTTTATCTTGTCAGTTTTCTTTGAATGATTTTAGCACGCGGCTTCTCGTCTTGTTTGTCCATGGACGTACTTTAATCTTATCGAGTCGCTTTGGTTACTCGAATCATCATTTTGTCGTTTTTCACTCATTATTTCTTATCATGGAAGTCACTTTGATGTGTTTTACGCGTTAGACGCTGATTTTATCACGAGTTAATACGTAATTTCAGGGCGCTTCGGGACCCTTGCGCATTTTGTTGAGTCGAACTATGTTTGGAGTTCGATTTTTGTATTAGGACAATTCGGTCTTGTGGCCCGTAGGCCTTTAGTTTTTCTGCATCTCAGCCTGGCCAGGCCCCTTAGAGCTCGATTTATGAAATTTATTGCACTAATTATAGTGTCTTTTTTACCAGACCAAGTCGCTTGTCAGACTCGATGGTATTTTGGTTGCACTAATTATAGTGTCTTTTTTACCTGACCGAGTCGCTTGTTGGACTCGATGGTATTTTGATTGCACTAATTATAGTGTCTTTTTTACCTGACCGAGTCACTTGTTGGACT